TGTGGCACTAGCTCTTAAATATCGTAAGCCCCATTCACATATGTTCCGTGCACTTTCCTTTAAAACTTGAGAGGCTGAGCCTTGAGCTGGGCATCTACAGAGGAGGTAAATTTTCTAATTTGTGTGAATTGTAGTCACAGAAGCATCACCTCCTATGATGTTAGGGAGCAGCTGCCGGCTCGCTCGCTCCTTCCAGGCCCCTTTATCTGGAACTACCATACGGCACTGCGTGTGTTCCATGAGGGCTAAAGGTCCTTAAGAGTGCCGGAGAACACACTTGTACATCTTGGTTGCTCACGGGTGTAGCCTGTTGCACAAACTGGCCCCGTGTTGGTCATCTCCGCGTATGGTGCTAGCTCCACTGGGCTCTGCCATAGCAGTCTCAGGACCTTGCTTATCGTCCATTTTGGCCACCTCTGTGCTAGGCCCCTCCACAGACACCAGCTCCCAGATGAAGAGGACACTATGTTTTCCACCTCCTCGAACTGGTAGGGACTCAAAAGTAAACAATTCAGTAGATGCTGAGAGCCTCTTAGTTTTATTGTTAGGACATGCGAATACAGTGTGAATAAGATTCTGTTCAGTAGAAGTGTATAGTTGTCTAGGACATTAAGCATGTAGCAACTGTAAGAGACTGGGTTAATTATAATAAAGGAATTAAGTGCAACGGGAATATAGAGGAGAGACTGAGGAAGGCCTCACTGAGGAGACAGCATCTGGGCTAGGTGGTGAGAGGATTTCACCTAAATGAGGAAAGCACAGCCCAGGTATCAGGAACCGTACAAAAGGCACAGAGCTTGAACATGTGCCATGGAGAGGCAGCCTCTCCTGTGTGAGGGCATACTGTGAAAGGGCGTGGAATTCATATGTTCACTTCCAACAAATATTTACGTGATGCCTTCTAAGTTGAAGGCACTGCTTTAGGAAGTAGGAACAGAGGAAAACTCTTGCTCTTACATACTTTACATTCTCGCGGGAGAGGGGTAATGCAGTAAACATATGGAATGTTATAACGGTAAGGACTTTGGAGAATACCCAACAGGATAAAGAGGTGAGGGAGTGTGGTGGGTGATCAAGGAAGGCCTATGAAGATGTTGTTTGAGCAGAGCCTAAAAGGAAGTGAGGAACCAAGCCAGTGGGTATTGGAGGGGTGGTGGAGAAGTGTGCTAAAGCAGAGGGAATAGTGATACAAAGCCTCTGAGGCATGACTATGCTCAGCATGTTTGAGGACTAGTAAGGAAGTCAGTGTGGCTGGAGAAGGGAGAGAGCATTGAGTTGAGGCCAGTAGAAAATAGAATCAGAGAGGTTGACGGTGGGCAGGAGGGAGGTGGGTTACGCAGGTCCTTGTAAGTCAGTTTGGATCATTGTGGAATTAATTACAGGTCACTTGGAGACACAGATAGATATCTGTTTCTAAAGAGTTCTAAATTCTATGCTGAGAGTTTGGGCATTATTGTATGCTAAATGAAGATTTTTAAGCAATGGAGTAACCCAACCAAGTTTACATTTAGGAAAGGTATCTTCCATATGGAGAAGCAATTGAAATAGGTAGAAATAATAGGTAGAAATAGGTAGAAAAAAAAATTGGGAGGTAGTAATCCAGACAGGAAAAGACAAGTCCTTTCCTACCAGATACCAGCTAGTGACAGACATAAATTTTGGAGACATAAATAAAAAGCTACAGTTTTAAATTTTAATTTCTATATAATTTTTAAAAATGATGGACTAAGAAATACTGGGGCACACTTGGAGAAATTTTAGACTTAATTCTGGTCTTTGTTCTGTTTGCCTGCTGTGTAGCTTGGACTTACATATTTCCAAGTCTTGCTTTTTCATCATAAATAGGAACAGAGCTGTTCACCTGGATACTTCACGGGGCACAGGGGCCTGTGGCGCAGGGAGCAGCCAGTGAGAGGAGGAGCTGGAGCACCTTGGGGCCTGAAGGGAGCACTGCAGGAGCTGTTCTTTTTAATGCTCAGCATCAAAAGTGAGGGCATCCCATTTGTGTCTCTCAAACCAAATTTCATTCTTCTTCTAGCCTGTTTTTTTTTCTCTAGTTCCTTCTCCTATACTTCAGTCAATTACTGACAGGCATTCTCTGTTAAAAACAGATGGGTTTGTCTCAGTATGGTTTAGCTGTTTGGACCTAACCAGGCCTTCTCCCGTCTATACTCTTGCGTCTAACTGGGGGCTCTGCACAATATCCTGGAGACAGTGAATTTTGACTTTTGTTAGATAGTTCTTTATATAAACTCTTCAGAGTTACTCCTTTTCAGGGTAGTGGTAGTGTTGTGTGACTAAGAAATGTTATTCTTCAGAAAAGTGCATCACTTGGTAGTATGTCAACTTGACATTTTTTTATCTCTATTCCCTGCTTTACAGACAAGCTTATTGGCATCCACTGTGCCCATGGTGTAAACAGGACTGGCTACCACATCTGCAGGTGAATTGCCAACCGTGAGAGGCAGACCTGGTTCCAGTTGTTTGGTTTACAACAGTAATGTAAGCTAGTTGCAGAAAATAAGTGTAGAAGTTTATGAAGGAGAAAGCAGTCTTTCCCGCACCCAGAGATACCAAGAGCGATGAGACTTAAATGCAAACATAAGCATATACATGCACTTTAATGGTGTAATATTTATTTACCTATTTATTTTGAGAAGGGACTTTATTTTTTATTTTTATTTAAAAATTTCCATTGAAGTATAGTTGACATACTAGTTCCAGGTTAATGGTATAATATTTAGACATCCTCTTTTATAATTTAGTGTATGGTAGATATCTTCTTATAAAAGTGTTTGGAGACCTCATTCTTTTTTAAGGTTACCTTGCTCCTTCACTTGCTGATGAACATAAGAAAGTCACAAGTTGTTGATATTATAAAATATTGAGGTAATGAATATTTCTGTATGAACATCTTTGAATATATCATCTTCTCAGAGACAGTTTCACTCAGAATGGAATTTCTGAATCAGAGCATTTATACCCTTGTATTTTTGTGGATGTTGCTACACTGCGCTAGTTTATGTTCATTCAGAAAATATTTTTAGGCATCTTCCCTGTGTAAGCACTGTGCTGGGTGCTAGCAAAAAGACTTGTGAGACTTTGTGAGCAGGGGCTTGACCAGCCTTCTATGAATCCTACCAGTCTAGGGAGGGACTAGATACTCAGGAATCACATAATTGCCTATACAATTACAACGCTAACAAGTGCCAGGACAGACCAGACATGGTACTGTGAGAGCATGGTAATAAGGAAGATTTGGCCTCATCACAGAGATTAGAGGTTTCCATACAGATAGAGCTGATACCTGACAGATGAGTAGGTATTAAGCAGATAGGGACATTGGGGCGAGAATCCTGGGTGGAAGGAACAGCAAAGACTGACAGCAGGAAGGCATGTGCTGTGTTGGAGGGAGTGGCCAAGGGCCTGGGCCTGGGGAGTATGGCATTCAAATGGAGCTGGAAGTATGGAGCTAGGTC